TTTTACTCTTAAGGTCATTTGAGGATCTGTTCCTCAGGGGTCACATGGGCTTGGGAGGAGCCCCTGGTTCCTTTCTTTTACCAGTTCCATCTATGTGAAGATAAGTCAAAGGTCCTACTCGACCATGGCTGGCTTCACTTGGAAGCATGGAGGAAATGTTTCCTCTGTGTTGACCCTCCTCTTTGTAGACTGGACACTGGTTCAAGTCCATTTGGTGGGGTCTCCATGACCTCCTTAATCAAGAGGACAGATGACACACCATAGTTACAGAATATTTTGAGAGATGCTCATAGTCCCCTGGAGCTTAGTCAACCTAGGACTAAGCATTTTTTAAAAACATCTTTTCTTTTCCTACCTGTTAACAGACACTGGTCTATTCAAAATCCTTATCAGGTAAGTTCTTGCTTTATTTTTGTTTATTTTTTTTATCTTTTTTTGAAACAGGGTCTCCTTGTAGCCCCAGCTGGCCTGCAACTCACTATATAGATCAGGCTGGCCTTAAACTTATAGAGATTTGCCTACCTCTGCCTCCCAAGTGCTAGGACTACAGGCGTGCACCACCATGCCCGGCTTAGTTCTTGCTTTATTTTATGAAACACATTTTCTATTTCAATAGCTTTCTGGACATATAGGAAATGTTAATGGAATAAGTTGAGATGGGATCTGATGCCATATTCTAGTGACCACCATGTCTGTGTTCCTGGGCCATTTACGATATTCCTGGAGAGATAACCCAGTGGTTACGAGCACCTGCTGCTCTTGCAGAGGACCCAGGTTTGGTTCTCAACAACCACAAGGCAGCTAACAACCATCTATAACTCCAGTTCCAGGGGATCTGATACCTCCTTCTGGCCTCTGTGGGCACTGTGTGTGCTTACATGTAGGCAAACACTCATAAACATGAAAATAAATAAAATATATATTTGAAATAGATCACACACACACACACACACACACACACACACACACACACACAGTAGGCTGTGGGCTGGCATGAAACCAGGCCTTGTTCCACCTTCAGTCCTAAGTAATTTAATTCTAAATACTTTCCATGCATGACTTATTTAACAAGAAAATTATGAGGTAGGTATTTTTTTAATTTTTTTCTTTTTGGTCTTTTTGAGAAAGGGTCTCCCTGTAGCCCCAGCTGACCTGGATCTCGCTGTGTATACCAGGCTGGCCTTGAACTCACAGAGATCCTCCTGCCTCTGCCTCCAAAGTGCTGGGATTAAAGGCATGTGCCACCATGCCTGGCCCTAGGTAGGTATTTTTAAATCTCCATTGTATTGATTATAAAACAAAATCAGAAAAAATGAGTCAAATTGCCCAGAATGGTGTCATTAGCTACTCAGGGGAGCAGCTACCAGCCTGGTGGAGATTTTTGTACCTTGTCTGGCTTTGGTGAAGAGTTGATGCTACTGAGTGTCTAATTCCTCTTGCCCAAGTAGTATCTCTATAACCAGGAGAATTCGGAAATATCCCTTATATCTCTTCCTCCCTTACTCTATACAACCAATACACCATAAAATTCTGTTTCTACTTTCAAAATACATAATAAACTCTTTAATATCTCCCAACCCAATGACTGCCTTCCCCCGAGAGCACCATCATCTTTCATTCTGGTGGTGGCAACAAACAGTTGCCTACCTCCTCTTTACCCTCGCATGGTATACTGGATCATTCCTCTGTGCTCAAAACTGTGCAAAGACTAGATCCCCACATCCCCAGGTGAGTGTGTGTGTATGTGCACGCGTGCGTGCGCATGTGTGTGTGTGTGTGTGTGTGTGTATCTGTATCTCTTTCTCTCTGTGTTTCTCTGTCTTTCTGACTGCTTTACTACGAAGCTCATGCTGGCCTGAAAGTTGGTATATACTTATAACCCAGGCTTATCTGAAATTCATCACCCCCTGCCTTTACCTCTCCAAGTGCTGTGATTAGCAGTGTGCACCACTGGGCCCAGCTTCTCCAGGTCTCTTACCACTGAAGATACACCTCATCTTGTACTAGATCTGCTTCTGGTCTTTTCTCAAGTCCTTGAAATAGACAAGGTAGTCTCAGTTTAGGCCTGTCCTACTTAGCTCTTCCTTCTGTCCAAAACACCCTTTTCCCCGCCACGTTTTTCTAGTCCACTCTTATCACTGGGTCTCAGCTCAAACACACAGAGAAGATGCCTTTGACAGCAAGCCAATTAGGCTTTCTCCCAGTTCTGCATGGCCCGTCTGTTTGTTTTCCTTTCCATCTGAGATGGTCTTTGTATTTTTGTTTTGACATCTTGCTCCTCCTCTGTCCTGCTGGGGCTCCTCTCCAGGATGGGGAGTTGGGGAGAGAAGGATGGTGATCCTGTTTAATTTCAGAGCCAAGAACAGTTCCTGGTCAATAACGGGTTCTAAATAAATACCTACAGAATGAAAAAATGGACATATTGTGTACCATCTAAGTATCAGTCATCAATTATTGACAAGCAGTAACTTCCTTTTGGAAGGTATTTTTCAGGCACAGAGAATTCCATTATGCATGATTTTCATCACCCTTCAGATTCCAAGAATCTCAGAGTTTAACAAATAATCCATTCCAGTGATTAGCTAAAGGTCTCATTGGTTCACTGATCGGTAGTTTTTCTGTTTGTTTCCTCTTTATCTAGATGGTCGCTACTTTTGCATTTCTAATTTCTGGTTTTGCTATGCAAATATATGTATTTTACTGTCAACCATTTGAAATCTGTAGCAACATATATCCTAATTATTATATATTATATAGTTATCTACAGATAGTCTCTACTTGATGTAATTCTTAACTTCATGGTTGTAAGGAAGCAATATGCATTAAACAAGAACTGTGTTTCTGTGCTTTGTATTTTGAAGTTGATCTTTTCCCAGGTTAGCAACATGTGATACTATCCATTCTCATTCTACTGGGCAGCCACAGTGAGCCACAGGTCCCAGTTATGTGATCACAATAGGAAAACAAGCAGTATCTGCAGTGTACTACGTTGCTGAACTATACAGTTTGGTAGATTGGGTGCATTAAATGTGTTTGTGATATTCTTCGTGGTTGTGTACATGTTCTCCTGTGGATAGGTGTATATGCATGGGGGTATATACACACATGTGTTGTATTCATGTAAAGGACAGTCCTGGGTATTGTTCCTTAGGATCCGTCCATCTTGTTTTTGTTTTGTTTTTCGGTCTTTTTGAGACAGGGTCTCCCTGTAGCTCCAGCTGTCCTGGAACTCTCTATGTAGACCAGACTGGCCTTGAACTCACAGAGATCTGCCTGCCTCTATTTCCCAAGTGCTAGAATTGAAGGTATATGCCACCACACCCAGCTCCACCTTATTTTTGAGATGGGGTCTTTTACTGGCTTGGAGTTCCCCAAGTAGGCTAGGTTGGCTGGTCAGGAGTCTTAGGGATCTGCCTGTCTTCACATCTCCAGGGCTGGGATGATGAGCACATGTCACCACAGCTAGCTTTTTATTTATGATATTTTTAACCTAGGATACTTTGACCTACCTTTTTTTTTAGGATGTAATCTCATCATAAGTCAATATCAATATATAATAATCTGACATACAATAATTCTGTTATATTACATATCATCTACAATTAAATTATCATATATCACACATTGTATATTATAATGACATCATATGGCTATGTGATGTCAATATATAATATAATGACATCATAATTAATCATGAAAAAGATTAATACAGATGTCCTCTAGGGGTCCACTCAGGTCTGAGGGAAGAATGAGCTGAGGATGCAGTTCAGTTGTGGGTGCACCACGGTCCTCTTGCTTTGAGTCTGGTTGCGAGCAAGTATCCAGGACAGACAAATGGCCCTGAGTTCCTGTGGCCACTGGCTTGTTCTCAGTTGTTGGTATTCCAAAGAACCAGTACCATGTGTAAAGATTTTATCTCTAGAATATCTTCAAAACAATCATCTCAGCAAATATTGCTCTGGCCCTGTCAAGCCTAGGAATCTGAATTTCACCAGGAATTTTATATTTCAGACCTATTACATTAAATATTTGTTGAAAGGTAATAAATATATCAAGTAAATAAAAGTTATTCAATTGAATCAAGTAAGAAATATTTAAATTTATTTGTATTAATAGGTGATGGAAATTCAGGAACCATATTATCAGGTAAGGGCTTTATGTATGCCTGTGTGTGTCTGTGTGTCTCTGTCTGTCTGTGTGTGCCGTTTCCCCCAGGACAGGTCTGTTTACCTATTACATTCAGGAGAGCAGTGGATGAAAAGTGGCTTTTCTGCTACGTCACTGAGTAACTGATCATACTCTGTCCTTGATAAGTGAATTTGTATGGATTCCCTGATCCCCAAGGTACCTCTGTAATAGAATCCCTGTCTACAAAAGAGCTTATAATGCTTTTATTATGGAAAATATTAGAAAACATTTTGAACATACAGGTTTCACAATTAGTTATTAAGCTTCAGTTCCGCTAGTTGCTCTGTGGGTATACAAACTCCCTCAGTTTTGGTAAATGACATATTCTAAATTTCCTTTGGAAGAAGAATCTTTTGCTCACACACGATGTTTGCTTTTTGTGAGTTTGCTGCTGCTGTTACAACAAACTGTCATAATCTGGTGGTTTAAACAACACATATATTTTTTTTTTGCCTTGTAGTTCTAGAAACAACTAAAAGAGGATAGACTTGTCTCACAGTTAAAGGATGCAGTCTGTCATGATAGGACAGGTGTCTTAGTTTATTTTCCTGTTATGATAAAATACTCTGACAGAAGCAACTTGAGGGAAAGAGGGTTTATTTTAGCTCAGAGTTCAAGTTATAGCCAGCATGACAGAAAAGTTGAGGTGGTGGGAGCTGGAAGCAGCTGGGCATACCACATCCACAAGCAAGAACAGAGAGTGGTCAACGCACGCTGCTGTTCAACTCTCTCTCCACTTATACGGTCTGGGCTCCCATCCAGGAATGGTGCTGCCCACAATGAGTGGCTTTTCCCACCTCCATTAATGTAACCAAGATAGTCTCCCATAGACAGGCCTATCTCCCAAGTGGTTCTAGATTCTGTCTAGATTCTTGTAGCTCACCTTTCTTTCCTCTGCTTACTGGTTGGGTCATCATATTTCAATGTGTATCCTGAATACTGTGTCCATTTCTAAGCCAATGAAGAGTATCCATTACAGAATTGTATTTCATACACAAATGTGATAAGCAGAATATTGTGCTCTCCCCCAAAGACATCCACATCCTAATCCCCAGAAACTATGCCTGTGCTAAATGATCTGGCATGGCATCTGGAGTGGCCAGTGATAACAGGAGCATGAAGTGGCTGGTCACATCGCAGAGGCTGACCAGGAAGCAGGGAGCTCATAAGGAAGGTCTGCCCCTAGACCTTCAGCAGTGATTCTCGCCAAGTAGAATCACCGATTGTGGACCACAGGAACCTGTGGGAGACACTTCAGATTCAAATCACAGCAACTCCCTTTCCTTTTCCAATACTTAGAGGGAGTTTGTATTACTTGGCTCATGTCCCCAGTCCTCCGTCTTCAAAGCCAGCATCTTGGCATCTTCTGATTTTTCTGATTCTTTTTTCCTCTTCCTCCTCTTAGACCCTTGTGCTTGTACTGGGCTCATCTGGGTAACATAGGGTGACATCCCTATTTTAAGGTCTCATCTGGGTAACATAGGGTGACATCCCTATTTTAAGGCAGTTTATCAACCCTACTTCAATGTGTTTCCTTAATTCACCCTTACCAGATCATTTAGCACAGGCATAGTTTCTGGGGATTAGGATGTGGATGTCTTTGGGGGAGAGCACAATATTCTGCTTACCGCATTTGTGTATGAAATACACTTCTGTAGTGGATACTCTTCATTGGCTTAGAAACGGACACAGTATTCAGGATACACATTGAAATATGATGACCCAACCAGTAAGCAGAGGAAAGAAAGGTGAGCTACAAGAGAAGGAAGATGCGCTCAAGCCGATACCCAAAGATGAGGGATGACCCTCCAGCTCCCGTGGTTTCCTCTGCCCAGGTTCCTTAGGAGTATTTTGGTTCCCATGGCCAGATATGCTGTGCAGTCACAAACAGTATAGTACCTGACAAGTGAAACCTCTTGCTATCAACTACAAGCTCCAGAAACTAGTATAGTGTCTACAGTGGGACACCCACAATGTGACAACCACAGGTGGTGTGATACCTACAAACGGCATGAAGCCCACTGACACTATTACACCTAAACATTAGCTCTAATCTCACCATCCAGCACCCACGGTGTGACACACACAGACACCGAATACATACAAGCCAGTGCTCTACACCTACAGACAGCACAACACCTACATACAGTGCTACACCTACAAAACAGCTCAATGCCTATAGATAGCGCAACAGCACTGTGTCTACAGACAGCTTAACACCTGCACACAGTGCAATACCCATGGGCACTGAATATATATATATACACCAGTGCAGCACCTAGACAAGGAACACCCTCAAACGCTGAATACACATACCAGTGTTACAACTACAGGCAGTATAACACTATGGTGTGGCTCTTACAGACAATGCCAACACTCACAGACACCGAGTAAATACACACCAGTGCTATACCCACAGACACTGAATACCTACATACCTATGCAACACCTACAGTGTGGTGCCTATAGTCAGTGTGACCCCCTGAAGATGGTGGAACCCCTGGGGATGGTGCCATGCATACATACTAGTGTAACACCTGCAGAAAGTGTGATGCCTACAGGTGCCACAAACATCTACAAACAGAAAAGTCAGTAGTAAAATGCTGAGGAGTGAAATAAGCATAAGAACTGAATAGAAGATCTTGAAGGTCCGTGTCATGTGGCCAAATCTCAGGAGGACCGTACTTCTCACCATAAAACACCAACATCTGCACTTGTACTTTGAGTCTAGAAGAGACAGGATGGGAACTATTGAGTTTAGAGTTTAGCAGGATGACCAATGGCAGGTTAGCATTTCTGTCATTTAAACGGTTATCACTTTGGAATTGAGGCAACACTACACCTTGTGAAATCACAGGGCACTCTCCCTGGCCACACTGCCCTTGAGTCACTGTAGAGGTCACTGTTAACCTCACACTGCCCTGGAGTCGCTGTAGAGGTCACTGTTAACAGTGTTTCTTTATTCCAGTTCTACCTGCCGTCTCAACTCAACCATATTCTAGAATGACTGCTAGTTCGGCGTCAGCAGGTAAGGCCCCGGCCCCACAGTTACTGCAGTTACTGTAGTTGCTAAGTTGTGTGTAATGGCGGCCAGTGTTTCTCAACCACCCCAGGTACCAATGTTGCTTCAACTGAGATCATGGGACTTGAAGAGAAAGGGACTGAGGAGGTCTGGATTTCACACTGCACAACTTCACTTTATATATGACCGTCTATACTTTACTATCAGAACACGGGAGCTTGGGGCTTCTCATATGCAAAGAGTAAGATGGAAAGGAGCAAGGACATCTGTGTCTTGGTATGTTGTTGAACCTGTGTTAGAGAAAGAGAAACCACCCAAGAGTTAGCTTGTATTTTTGGAACTTAAGAAGTAAAGTAGAGTGGCTGACTGATGTCAGGGAAGAAACTGAGACGGTAAATTTAATAATTACCCCGCTGGTGAGTCGCTGGGAGTGGGCCTGCCGGTTCCTGGTTGTGGTGAGCAGGAGTCACCATTATGGTCTGTCTTCATTCATCACTGGGATAGTTGACGCCATCTCAACTTTTCCATCATCTGTAACAACTGCAATTTCAATCACACCATCATGTGATTCCTAGCCTGACAAAGCCAGTCATAAGTTGGCCCTTTCCTCTGCAAACCTTGGAGGCTGTAGATATGTTCATTCCCTTGATTAAAATAGTGCCATCACAGGTGTATGGTGTCTCCAAATCCATCCAATTGCATACAGTATAAACACATGCATGTTTTTAGTACATCAACGATACCTCAAGAAAATTGTTTTCTAAAAAAATCACTTGGAGGATGGGGAAGATAGCTCAGTGGGTAAGAGAATGTGCTGGGAAGTACGAGAATCCGAGTTCAAATCCCCAGAACCCACATAAACAGCCTGGCACAGTCATATGTGCCTGTAATCCCAGTGCTGGGATTGTTGCCTGCCAGTCTAGCTCCAGGTTCAACAAGAGACCCTGTCTTAAGGGAATAAGAGTGATCGAGGAGGATACCAGGTATACACACACATAACCATAGACCACACACACATACACATAGATACTCACACATAAAATCTTTTTTCTTTCTTTCTTTCTTTCTTTCTTTCTTTCTTTCCTTCCTTCCTTCCTTCTTCCTTCCTTCCTTCCTCATCCCTCCCTCCCTCTCTCCCTCCCTCCCTCCCTCCTTCCTTTCTTTGGTCTTTTTGAGACAGGGGTTCCCTATAGCCCAGGCTGGTCTTGAACTCACAGAGATCCACATGTCTCTGCCTCCTGAGTGCTGGGATCAAAGGTGTGTGCCACCACACCTGGCTTAAAATTTTCTTTTAAAAGACAGCATTATATCTGGGTGTGGCAGCTCATGCCTTTAATCCCATCATTCAGGAGGCAGAGAGACAGGTGGATCTCTGTGAGTTCAAGACCAGCCTGTTCTACACAGTAAATTCCAGACCAGCGAGGTCTACATAGTGAGATTCTGTCTCAAAAAAAAAAAAAAAAGACAGCATTATAAAAAAGTTGGCTTTTTATATTGATTATATATTCAAACAATACTTTATGTTGAATTATGTAAAAATATTATTAAAATAAATCTCACCTGTTTCTTTTCCCTTTTAAAAATGTAGCTATCAGAAAACTTTAAACTACATTCATGTCTCCAGCCTGAATTCTATTAAGCAGCATTACCTTATACCTCTCAACCATTATGCCAAATGTTTTTTTGTGGGTTTTCCTCTCTGATCCTCCCAATGGTTACATGAGAAACCACTACATCCCTTTCCCAGACGAGGAAACTCATGTTCAAACAGGTTGTTACATGTCCCCAAGGTCCATGAAGGGGAACACCAACAATCTGCAGAGCCCTAAGACCCTGGTCTCTAAACTGTAATAAACTCTAAATCCCATTAAGATCCTGGTCCTTAAAAATGGACCAGGTATGCTGCCTGATCATGAGCGAAGAGGATCCTTTTGCGATGAAGGAAGTTAAGAGTCCAGGGGTTCATCTCTGAGCTGAGCCTGCATTTGAATTTCTCATTTTGGTCTTTCTAGACTTGCATGCTCGTAGAACCCAATCTGCCCTCACTTTCAGCCTTACTAATAATGAGTATGCATCCACTTGTTCCCCCATGACATTGTACGTTTCTTGGGGGCAGAACCTATATCTTTTTTATCTTTGATTTCATCTCCACACACACACACACACACACACACACACACACACACACACAGAAGGGGGGAGAGAGAGAGAGAGGGAGAGAGAGAGAGAGAGAGAGAGAGAGAGAGAGCGCTAAGAACAGTATCTCCATGGGAGAAGTATGAAATTCTGGAATGAACACAGACCACTTGGCTGTTCCCCAGTTCACCCTTTCATGTTCACTTCCCTCAAAAGAGAGAGCCGTGTTACAATTATTGGCTCTGCCATCTGAGATAAAGATGAAGATGACGCCAAAGATAAAGATATAGGTTCTGCCCCTAAAAGGACTAAATAGCAGACTGAAGATTGAGCGGCATGCTGCATTCAGTGGACATAAACCCGGGGTTTGGACCCAGCTCTTAGCTGCCTCCCACCCCCGTGGCTCCCACCATGATCGTCACCTCTTTCTTCTTCAGTTACTGCTTCTGAAAACTGGGACAACTTCTTCTTTCAAGGAGTTGTGAGGATCAAGGCAGTGAATCCCCATAAAACACTTAGTGGAGAGCCTGGTGCACAGCGGGTGCCCTGTGGTGTGACCTGCTGGTTTTATAGTGTGCAGTGCTTAGGGATGATGGACACCCAAGAGGGCATGGCCCTCCTGTTCCCTCTGCCAGCCACAGTCGTCGTGTCCCTTCTCCCCACGCCGCTGGCCATCACAAGCTCGTTTTCTGCCTCTAACATTTGTTTTCTCATTTCCTGTACGTGGAACCACAAAATGCAGTGATGCTTTTCATGTTCAGTGTGTCTTCAAGGCTGCTGGTTCCTGTTAAAACCTGTGCTCTGTACAGGTTATCAAATTCTCCAATGAAACAAAGCAAACAAAGGACTCTTCCTCTTCCTGTTGCATATAAATCACCCAAGTAATTTTCCGTGTACTGTTTCTCTAACAGTGGCCTCAAGTTCCACAATTCCAGAAGATGCGAACCATCCAATCGAATCGTCAGGTAGGTCAAAGAAAACTGTGATACACTGCATGTGTCATGCATGGCATTCTAGGCCCATAGAATGGATGGGTTGATTTTCAGGGCTGGGGTAGATGCACCATCATGGGGAGAATATACAATGCTCAACGTCACCTATGCATCACACTTTACCCCACAAGGAGAGGCTTCACCTCCTCTGCTCTTTACACCTTCATACCTGTCACGGTGCTTAGCATGTATAGACACCAAATAAGTATTTATTGAACGAGTGAAAGAATGCACAAGGAAGGCTTTTGACTCTTCTTTACAGCTTTGGTCTTGGCCAAGAAATTTGCTAGACAGTGGGATGGGAAGGCAAATCACTCTACAGGCTGCCAGTCACCCATTTGCACTGCTATCCTTCAGAGAGAGGTGTCAATCATTTACACTCACGCAAACTAATGAAGCCAGATGCGTCTGACAACTATGTTCTGTGTTTCAGTTTCACCAGAGGGTGAGGAGTTACCCACTGTCTTATCAGGTAAGATCGGTACTCCAACACCGGCCCTGCCATGTGTGGCCTCACCATGTAGATGGCATGTACCGCAGATGGGTTTCTAGGTTGTATAATGTCCTCTGTGGAGTCAAAAAAGACAACCAGTATCCTTATGAATATTAGGATTTATAGAACTTTGGCCCAGTTCTCCAATGACTTGACTTATAACTGTCAAGCACCGTCATGCAGAGTCTGGAGTCTACACAGGGTTAAGAGGGGGACGTGTTAGGAATGCAAATCTTGCTGGGTAGCTTTTGGTCAGCCTTGCTGAACTTGGCTCCAATCTTACTGAAAGTCCAGCAGTGGATTAGTCCACATGCCTGGGTTAAGCTATGGTCAGTCTGTTGACAGTTTGCCAGCTGCTAGCTGAATCCTCTTCTGATGTGTCCTGTGTTGTCCCAGGAAAGGGACTTCAGTTCTGACCCCCGTTTCCATATTTTTCCAGTTCTGCCTGTGGCTGACTTAGCACCTGCTAGCCGCAGAGCCAGTGCGTTCAGGCTCAGCCCCCCAGGTAAGCAGCCTTCCTGTGAACTGCAGAGAGGGGTCACCACAAACAGAAGGGAACTGGGGTGAGAGGGTAGGGGAGGGCAGCTGGGGGTTCCTGGGCCACAGAGGAAAGCGCCCTAGGGACAATACACCGTCCTCCAGGCCTGACTGACAAGTGGGTCCTCTTAGAGGATTTTGGCAGCTGTCATCTTTAAATTCTTGTTCTTCCAGGGAAACATAAAGTTTATAACACACACACACACACACACACACACGAAAACCAAAAGCCCATATACCCATAGGTATGGTCAGAGTTTACATTTTTAATCTTATTGATTTCTATCCTTACCAAGAAATGATGCAGTTAAAGATGAAGCTTCCAGGGCTAGGAATAAACCTCAATGGTGGAGTGAATGAGAGGCCCTGGGTTCAACCCTAGTACTGTAAATAAATATCAGTCTTTAAAAATAAAGTTAAATAGATATGAATCTCCTAATGCCCCCAAACTCAGTCTCTCTTTTTTCTTTATTCATAGACAAATGCTCTTTTGAATTTTCTACATTTATTTTTGTTTCATTTTATGAATTATATGAATTTTATGATTTCTGTATATGTTATTTTGTGGTTTTACTTTCACACAAATTATATTAGTTTCTATCATGCCATATAAGTTCCATGGCATCATACAACATGGGTGCATGCACAGACATACCAAGCACACATGTACACACATGCTGAGAGAGAGAGAGAGAGAGAGAGGAACTGCTAACTGCTCTATAGTACCACTTAGTGAAATCCATTTTCCCAAATTTTCATGCCTCCGTTGCTGATGGCAACGTAAAACTCCACTGCCTTGAGACACAGCTGCCCTGTCACCTAATCTGCTTTGTTCAGTGATTAGCAAAGAACACACCATATTGTAGTGTGATTAAGAACATTTTCCCACAATGTTCTTACACAGCTGAGGCCTTGAAGGATTTACTTCAACCCATAAGCCAAGCAACCAGGGCAAGTTCAGTAGGAAAGTTTCCAACTTTATTTTCATATCTGCAGAAGACTGGCCTAGGCTAAGGCTAGTGAATGGCTTGGAAAGATGCTCTGAGGGGTGGAAGTTTCCTATCAGGGTACCTGGGGGTCAGTGTGTGATGATGGCAGGGGCCCGCTAGAGGTGTAGTTGCATCCAGGCAACTCAGGTGTGCCTCAACCCCATCTGTTTGCCTCAACCTCCATGTCAGCCAGGGTTTGGAAAGATCCTGCTGGATAATGTGTGCTGGGCTGGCACAGAGTCACCTGGCCTTGCATGCCCACGTCAGTTGGCTCACACCTAGCCATCTGCTCTGGTAAAGGGGTCTTTTTGCATTCTAAGTGCCCTGTGGGCAAGATGGGTCAGTGAATCCTCTCTCCACTCTGACATACTCTGTAAGGACAGCACCCCCCCCCAAGTAGTGCTGGTTTCTGTGTCCCCTTCTACTTTGATTTCTCTCTCACTAGTTTACTCTGTGTAATGCTCATGAGATGAAAATGAGTCTGTTGGATTAGGCTTCAGGCAGTGTACTGAGTCTGGATTGAATGGTCTATCATTCCTTAAAGCCTGGAAGAGGTGCTGTTCATAGTTCAACCTCCGTTGTTATGGGCCAAGGACATGGCTCACAGTGTTGAGTGTGAGTGTTCTGGCTCTCCTCCAGGATATGTGCTGGTCCTGAGGACTGGCCCCTCTTCTGGGAAGCTGCCGCAACTCTGGCAAAGAGTAAGCTGAGAATTAGCTCATTACCTCTAGTCCCCCAGGGGCAGAGCCTTCTCTGATCTGAGTCCCATACCACCTCTGACAAGACACAGTTCTGTGGCCATTGAAGGATGACAAGTGACAGCCCTGACTTCAGGGTGTGCTCTGCTGTGACTGTGCAGAGATCACAAAGTGCTTACTTGAAATTTTTATTGCATTGTGTGTGTGTGCGTGTGTGTGTGCGTGTGCACATGTGTGTGTGCACGCACCACAGTACATGTGTGGAGGTCAAAGCACAACTTTCTTTGGGATCAAGCTCAGGCTCTCAGTCTTGCTGGCAAGCACCCACTGAGCTAGCTCTCTGGCCCACAAAGTGCTTATTAAAGAGTAAATGTCTATCTGTTTTCCAGAGTCATTAGGTCAGAAACAATCACTTTGAAGTCTGCCGAGGACAGCAGCAATTAACAATTTATATGTATATTTCAGAGTATTTCAGCCAGTCAGAAAAACTGTGGGGCCATTTCTTTCATATCCTAGTTCACCACCTTCCAAATACTGTGGTGTATAAGATTTACCTGGAACACTCATTAAAAAACAGGTCACTGGGCCCTACCTTCAGAGTCCCTGACCCTTGTAGGTCTAGGATACAGTGAGAATCTGCCTATCTGACAAGTCTAGGATGCTTATGATGCTGCTCTGTGGACCACATCTTGAAACTCACTTTCTTAAGGTATAATTAAAAAGAAATATTTCCTATCCTAATAAATAGAAGCAGAAACATTATCCTCCTCCTCCTCCTCCTCCTCATCATCATCATCACAGTCGTCATCATCATCATCATTATCATCATCCAAAACCAGTCTCCCTAGTAAGTCAAATTTTGTAAGTTATTTCCCTATTTTCAAGTTACATATTTTTATGGTTGTGGCTATGCAGAGCTTAACATTCAAATAAAACGTTTAAGTAAATATTAAAATATCTTCAAATCTCTGGATATATAATATTATGTAAACAGGACTCTGGATGAATTAGTTTTCCATTTGTATCTAGTGTGTTGGTCATTTCTTCTGTTATGGCCTAGTGCCTGAGAAAACAATTTTAGGGAGGAAGGTTTTATTTGACTCAGTTTCAGAAGTATATTGGCTCCATTGCTTTTGGATCTTGTGAAGCAGGTCATCATGGCAGAAGGATGTAACAGCATAGCTGCTCACCTCATGGTGGCCAGGAAACAGAGAGCCACGCATTAAGGAGCCAAGCTCAATGTGTACCTTTAAAAGGCACATTATGAGAGTTATAGTTGCTCTGAATCCTTGTCAAGACTATTTTAAGTCTGGCCACTATAATAACTTTTAAAAGGCACATTATGAGAGTTATAGTTGCTCTGAATCCTTGTCAAGACTTTGGATGGTCTCTATTTTAAGTCTGGCCACTATAATAACCCTATAAGACATTGCAAATAGCTTCAGTGATGTTTGTTCCATAGTTCTTACTCCCACTCAGAGCCTGAAGCTGCAACACCACCACACGTGCTCCCAGGTTGGTCCAATCTTTCATTGTTAGCTGTGGGTAAACGTTCCCTTGTAAGATTTATTTTGTAGAATCACATAAATCTCCTTGGGCAAGGAAGGTAAAAATACATTCTATACTCTAGATAAAGGAAGCATTGGAGATAAAACAGAAAGAGAATCTTTAGGCAATGAGATATTTATTGCGTCAGATGAGTTCCATCAAGATTTCACAGTTGTTTTGTTTGCTAAGAACTATTAGGAAATATCAGCTATCTCCATGTAACTTATGAGACCTAATCTGATTCATGAAACTCTAGCATTGTCTACAGTGGTGTGAGACTGTAACTTTCCCTAGAGGTCAATGCTTTTATGTCTTTTCATAAATATTTAATTCATATTTCAGAAGTTAGTGAAGGTCACAGTGAAAACGCCACTCTAGACCCTAATGTTGATTTCCTTCACCCATCAGGTACTGAGCGTTCCCCAGACCCCACTCCAGTAATGGATCCTGATTATCCTGACCTCTCAGACACACCAGGTTGGTTCTTTTCCTACATGTAGGGAGTTCTCTTCAAGCATTTGCTGATTAAGACATGGTAATACGCACATACTCTGTCCGCATTGACAAGTGCTGATTACACAGCTCTTCTGCCAACAGGTAGGACCATCTGGCAATCCAGTATCTTCAGTGTCATGCACTAGGCTGGGAACAAATGTGAAACACATCAGGGTGCTTGGTCAGATCTTCATTGATTATAAGCTTCATTCAGTCATGCAACCATTCAGCAGATACAGATGGAGTGTCTACCCTAACCAGACTCTCCAGACAGTGATGACAAAGCAGGGATCAGAGCCCACTTGGTCTCATTTTTCATGGGGTTTTACATGTCAATCAAGAGACAGATGTGACAAGTGACCATGCTCAGTTTTATGATCTTAGCCAAGTTATATCATCAGCCACTCCCATCCCCACACCTTGTCAAAGTGGATAGCATAGAGGATCGAGAAAGTACATGAATGTGGGGATGCCTACGGCTTCTGGCACCTGGAAGGCAGTCAGACAGCAATGCTTCTTTCTTTGGGCCACATACTGACCTGAAGGAAGAAATGAGAGGGTGAAAAGGGCCCCAAGGTGCAGAAATCAGATCTAGACTCACTGGTCACCAGATGAATGATCTTGACCATCAGAATCTTCTCACCATTAGAGTAGGCTCAATGGATTCTAGGCTCATGACGATCCTATGACTTTGGCATTCTATGATTAAGGAGACAGTAAGTAGTTACATAGACCAGCTGAATAATATGTGTGTTCCTGTGGAAAACGAAGGACTACCATCAAAACCCAGAGGTGTGAGTCTTGCATTAGGCATCCAAAGGTACTTTTCCCACCAGCATTTTATGGGACTCTTTCAAATATACCACAAGTCAAGTTTGAAGACCTTAGTTTGAACTCCTACCTAGATTCTATGATGAATTTGTAAGTCCATATATAAACCCTCTACCCATCCATCAGTTCATCTCATTTTTATTTTAAAAAAATATTTTATTTTTTATTTTTAGTTTATGTGTATAGGTGTATTGCCTGCATGTATATAAGTGCACCCATGTCATGCAATGCCCACAGAGGTCAGAAGAGGGTATCAGATCCCCAGGAACTAGAGTTATAGATGGTTGTTAGCCATTATGTGGGTGCTGGGAAACGAACCCCCAGCCCTCTGCAAGAGCAGCCAGTGCTCTTAAGCACTAAGCCACCTCTCCAGCACCTCATCTAATTTTTATTAAGGTTGACTTATATGTTACATAATTCAGCCATTCATGACAAAGGGGAATTTGGGTAATTGCATACAGTTGTGTAACCACATTAAGGGCCGGGTGCAGTTCCCATACCCAGCAAGGTTAACTCATCACTTTCAGAGCTGACTCTTCTCCCCTTAAGGATCTGCTGTGTGACTTTTCCTTGATTTGCACTGATGAGGTCGTGACAATGGCATGCCATAGGAGAAAGCAGCAAAGAGAGAGATGACAGCCAACTGATTGCCCTTCACAAGCAGGTCACTTGTTGTTAATCCCCCTGGAGTTCCGCTTTTTCTGGTGGCCATGTGGTACCTATTAGAGTGTCAGCAAGCAGCTGCCATGTTCTACCTTAAACGGATGCCTCGAGGATGAGAGCACACACAGGACTTGGAACACAGTGGCATCGTTTTTCTTTTCTTTTTTTTTCTTTGCCCTTTTCCATGAAAAGACATTTATTGTCATACATTATTAGAAGAGTAACATTCAAAACAATGCGATGCCACTCAGCACCTATTAGAATGGCTATAATAAAAAATCCTGACAAAGTCAAAACATAAGAAACATATAAACAATAGAGACCCTCAGTGCTTATAGAGATACAAAACTGTGCGGCTTCATTGAATGACAGTTCAGCAGTATCCTGTAAACTTAAACATATTCTTTTTCAGATAAATTATTTTTCCCTTTTTAAAATAGCAGCCTTATTGAGCTAAACCTCACATACAATCTGTTCACTCTTTGAAAGTATACAATTTTAATGGCTTTTGTTATAGTCAAAGAATTCAGTAAACATCACAGTCAAGAATGTTTTCATTTTCTCCCAGAGAAACCTCACACCCTTAGCCATCCCCTCCAGCCCCTTCTGCCCCTCAGCTTTAGACAACCTTGATCTACTTTCTGTCTCTATATGCCCACTCTGGACACATCATATAAACATATCAATTTTTCTTTTAATCAAATTTGTCCTTTGACATTTTCATACATCCTGGTTAATCTCGGCAGGAATCAGGCACACCTTGAAGCAACTGAAGGAATCTGTCCTCCCGATTTTATAATTCCGTGGTGACAGTCCTTTCTTCTTACCTATCACTAGCCCCTGAGAACCTGCTTCCTACATCATTGATGATGTCAGCAGCTCAACACCCAGGTTTGACTGCACCACCAGGTAGGGCTGTGTCTTTTTGTGCTGTGTCTTCTGAACAAATCTGTCAATGAAGGAGTGTGAGAACATGTGTCATTAGAGATACGTGGAGCAGTGAAAAGCTGACTGTCATATGAAATAAGCCTAGGGGGCAAATGACAGTGTGGTGAATTCTGTGACACGTGTGTATGTGTGTGTGTGTGCGCGCGCGCACGTGCATATGCATTATAGGTACCAGAAAGGGGAGGGGGTCTTCATCCATCTATGAGGAGTCAAGATTGGAGGAAATAACAGCTAATCTAGGACCTGAAGGCTGAGGGGCAACAGACTTATTCTAGGCAAGAGAGCAATCAGATAGGCAGATACCCCATAGGGCGAGATACTGATTTACTTTCCAGATTAGAACCTAGAGTTGGCTGGTAACTACACAGGGTCAGTAACGAATGAGGCAGCTTAGGTCCTCAAGGATAGCTTCATGCTGTATCTGGGGATGAGTAATATTTAGAGACATTCAGCTTTGAATTTGGTCTTAGATTTTTCTAAGTGAAGGTCAGTCTGAGGCTAGATGATGCAGGAATAAAATAGTGGACTCAATGATTCCTTAATCCAGCTGGACAGCCAGGACATTCAGGGAGAAGGCAGAGGAGCCACTGCCATTGGCCATGACCTTGGAAAGGTGGTATATACCAAGACTGCCACTATTGGCTTGGTGGCTTTCAGTCCCCCGAATTACACTCTGTGTCTATCGTTTCTTCTCTTGTTTCATAACTTTTTATTTTACATGTCTACCGTGAGCTGAGCATTGCACCAGGTCTTGCAGTGAATGCACAGATGAGCCTGACACAGTTCCAGTTCTCCTGGAGTTACGGTCTAGTAGGGAGACAAGTCTTGCACACACAAACCTATGATTCAAGGACAAAGTGGTCTGTACCACAGGAAAGATGCCCTGCCACGCCCCTCCTGCATCCCCAGCCCTGGGTTCATACTGTTCTGTGCCTCCAGGCTGGTGGTCTATGTATGCATTTCTGTACAGACATGATCACACCCACTGTCTACATGTATCCATCTCCCCCCAAGATTCGATTCTAAGATCCAGACCCATCTCTGCCTCCCTACCCACCTCCCAAGCAAGAACAAGGCCTGAGCAAGTCCTGGCCCACATGGTCTCACATTCTTTGGCCTCACAACAGCTTCTGCAATCATGACTGTTACCATTAAGGCCCAAGATCCTCAGAGATACTTAGCTTTTGGTTCAGCTTACCTGAGTCACATCCATTGCTCTTCCCACTGTGCCTCTTTGTTTCTTGTACATTGCTGGGGAGAAGGGACACACACACACACACACACACACACACACACACACACACACATTGCTTGATCTACACACAACAGTGTAGCCAGGCTCAGACATATCACAGCTAAGGACCGAGAAAGGAACATGTCAGTCCTAGTCCAGCTGATTGATCACAAAGGCTTCAAAGAATGGAAGTCACTTGGGACGGAATTGGAAGGACTTCAGTGGGCAGGAATGGGAAGGCGTACTTTTATGCCAAGTGAAAGGTACAGGAAAAGGTTTATATTCATGGGTTAGCACTTGGCTTCATGATGCAGATGAGCACTAAGGCAAGGGTAATTGAAGGAGGTCCGTGGCAGTGAATAGGGGAACTTAGAGATTCCAGTCAAGAGACTGCAATCGGTAGAGCCGTCCTTTCACAGTCCGGGCCTCTCTTCTTCCTGCCCTACCCTTCAATATTTATTCTGTTCCTTTGTTTCATTTTGTTTGTGGTTTTGGAAACAAGGTCTCACTCTAGCTCAGGCTGGCCTCAACTCACAAGCAATCCTGTTTTCGCTTTCCAAGTTCCGGGATTACAGGCATGAGTCACCATTCCTGGATACCAGTGATTATCCTGAGCTACCTCTCTGTTCACTTGTCTGCCCCATGTGACTTATGGTTGCCCCTTAAAGGAAGTATCAGCCCTAAGGCATCCAGCTCTGTTTCTGATTCCAAATATACAAATAGAATCTGTCCCAATTCAGCTATGAACTGGTTCCTCTGGAGTCTACGTGAACTGTAATCCTGTCATCCTGATCAGGGAGACTCCACCCCCAGGTACATGATGTTGGCCCCATGTCTCCTCTTGGCCATAGGTAGAGCAGATTATCTAAAAGGGAATATGGATAAAAAAATGTATAAGTTACCCATTACCATGTAAAGCCACCTGGTCCGAAATAACCATTTCTCATTGCTCATGAGTCTACAAGTCAGTGGGAAGTCCTGCTGTTCTGAGTTAGACGCTCCGTTTTGGTTGGGTTTACTCATGCATCTGTGGCTCATTGGAAGGTCAGCTGAAGATGTCTGTCCCAGGATGGGCTCCCTCACATGTCTAGTAATAACATGTCCATCACCCATCACCTGAGGTGACAGAGGTACCCGGCTGTGTCCCTCACCAACCAGCAAGCTATCTTGAGCATATTAGCATGATGCGCCAGAGAGCCAGCTTTATCTGAGTGCACACTACACCTGCATACTCTCCTGGTCAAGGTGAACCAAAGACCCCCAGCCCAGTATTGAGAGAGAAGGAAAGAAGCCAAGCTTCTCAGCCAGGAGAGCCTCAATGTCATATTGTAAAGAGTGAGGGTACAGGGAAGTGACAAATAGCCGTGTCTGTAAATAATCCATCATGGAGAAGTTATCGTAACACAGGATGTAGATAAGGAGAAGGCCATAAGCTCTGTGGAGTAGACACATGGGGGAATGGCATGGGCTCTGTCAGCGCAACAGGGAAAATAAGAACAGAGACTAGGTGAAGGTGCTCGCCAGTCATCAACAGGCAGCGGGAATGGCTATTGCCTCTCTGGCCCCTTCTTCTTTCCCAGGAGGCTGGGCCCCTGTGCGGCTGGTAGGCACCCACGAGACTTGTGCAGGCCGTGTGGAACTTTTCTACCAGGGAGTCTGGGGGACTGTGTGTGATGACCTCTGGGACCTGGCAGAAGCAAACACCATCTGCAGGCAGCTGGGGTGTGGCTGGGCTGTTTTAGCCCTGAGTGAAGCTCACTTTGGGGAAGGCTCTGGGAAGATTATCCTTGACAACGTGCAATGCAAGGGACACGAGGAACACCTGGAGGAATGCTCCCATGTTGGCTGGTTCACCCACAACTGTGATCACAGTGAAGATGCCAGCGTGGTCTGTTCAGGTAAGGCCCACTGCCCTCGAGAGCCTAGCTTCAGCTCTTACAAGAGATATTTTTCACACCTGTACCATTACTTTTCTCATTGCTGTAACAAAATATTGACAAAAGAAACTTAAGTGAGGTAGTGTTTATTTAGGTTCATGATTCGAGGGTGCAGTCTGTCATGGTGGGGAGGTGTGGCGGTAGAAGTGTGAGGCAGCTGGTCCCATGGCACCTGCAGTCATGGCAAAGAGAGATGAATGCTGGTACTCAGCTTGCTTTCTCCTAATTTCCTTTATAAAATTATTTATTATTTTTATTTTAAACATAAGAGTAAATTGCCTGCATGTATATAAGTACACATTGTCATATGATGCCTGCAGAGGGCAGGTTCCCCTAGAACTGGAGTTACAGACAGTTGTTGGCCACCACGTGGGTGCTGGGAATCCAACCCAGATCCTCTGCAAGAGCAGCCAGTGCTCTTAACCACTGGACAGTCTCTCCAGCCCCCTGTTTTCCTTTTTATTCAGCCTGGGACCCCAGCCCATGGGATGATACCACGCATGTTCAGGGTGACTCTTCCCTCCTCAATTAAACCTCTCTGAAAATACCCTTGCAGACATATCTGGAGGTTTGTCTCCTAGGTGATTCCAAATCTAGTTGGGTTGACAATGAAGGTTAACTATCACAATATGATGTATAAAAATAACCATTGATCATGAACTAGTATGTAATTCACTCACATGGGATGTTTTCATTTCTCACTTTATAGATGCTGAATATGCAACAACCGTGCTAGCAGGTAGGGAAGACAGTGTTTGAGTGTGTGGTTTGTCGGGAGTTTGGGAAGAGGTTCCATAGAAATTGGATTTGTCTTATTCTCCAAGCCAGTGGAGTAGCAGAGACATAAAACGTGAACTCATCTGATTGTCTGGTAGGAGAGTAGACAGTACCTTCAGAGTCATCTGGCCCAGCCTCACTCACCCTCCATTTACCACTGTGCATCTCATGTACAGTAAACAGACCCTTGATTTCTCAGACTTCTGTAGAACATTCTGTTTGGTCAGCTCTGAGGTTTGCATAGAAACAGTGAGATATGGACAGGAGGAGGTGGTTGAGATATAGCCAAGATGTTTCCTTCCTGGTGGGGAATGGCTAGTGGGACAGATATGGTCCCAGTGAGCCTGTGGCCATTTCTATTCCCCATTCACCTCTGCCTGTTCCTGGCGCAGCCGTAGGTCCACAGAGCTGCCACTGCTGCTGGTCCTTGCCCACTCCTAGCCTCCGAACCTGGATTTCCCATACCTAGACTCTCCCTCCCTCATCAGACCCTAAGGTCTCTAGAGGCCTTGGTCTTAGCTGATCCTGTCAGAGAATGAGTCAAGAGTAAAGCTGGTGGGAAAAAGTCTTGTAAAGCTTCATTTACACCCTGTCCTGGATGTGTCAGCTCTGCTAGGTGGGACTGCATTAATCCAGAAAGATCATCTCTAATGGAAGATACTGAGCTGAGTGTTGCTAGATGTTGGAACCTGGAGGAGCCTCAGCTTGTTTAGTTCCTGACTCAGTATCTCTGAGCAGTACCAGGTCAAAAGACACTTGAATTATTGTGTTTTTCTGTGTGCGTGTGCATTCTTGTGGGGTAGGGGTGTCCATGCACATACGTACATGTGTGTGTATATCAGAGGACAGCCTCAAGTGTCATTCTTTAGACACCGTCCACCTTGTTTTTCGGAGACAGGGGCTCTCATTGATGTGGAGCTCACTAATCAAGCTAGACTGGTTGGCCAGAGAGCCCCAGGGATCCACCTGTCTCTTTCTCCTCAGCACCAGAATTACAAGTGTATACCACCAAGCTGGGCTTTTTATATATGGGTTCTGGAAATTGGACTCAGATCTTGTGCTTGGAAGGCAAGCACTTTACTGACTGAGCCATCTTCTTAGCTCTTGAATTGGTGCATCTTCCTATTCCTACATCACAAATGCATAACTCACAGCCCCTTGGGTTATGGGAAGAGGCTTTACGAGAGAAAATCTCATGTCTTTGATTTTTTAAAGCTTCCATTTAAAAACTACCTTATGTTTTGTGTGAGAAAAGAATAGTTCATGAAAATCCAAGAATGAGCTCAGTCAGTACCCAAATCTTGAACACCAGAAGCCCCTCAGTGCTCAGGTCTCTTCTCTAGAGACCCTGATTCAGGTTCTGGGAGGGGCTGAGGTAGTGTGTTTTCCATGGGCTCCTCAGGATTCTCACAAATAGACCTGTGCAGCCCTGTGCCAGCTGCTTGCCCACTTGCTGCCTTTGTGTTTGACAGATCGCCCAATGGCTGTCATGGAAAGGACCGTGGCTGCAGGTAAGAAAGTGCCCCAGCTGTCCTCTTCCTTACAGCTCAATCTTGAAAGTGCCTCTTCACAGAAACCCTACTGTCTGGTCTAGGTCGTCCCCCTGAAACTGTATTCTGCATGAAGAACCCCCAAAGTCAGGCCAATGCATTTGTGTTGCAAGGAAGTAATTCCAAATAATCAAGAGATGCCTGCTTTCTTGTTCTCCCAGCCAGAACACCGTGAGTGAAGGGAAGACATGTAGCCAGTCATGTAACGATGCTGCCAGCTAGTACCCATGCCATGATTTCAGAAGGCTCCCACCATGAAGAGCTTGCTTTCCTTCTTTGAACTTTCCCCTCCGCTCACTGCCTCCCTCTCTCTGTGCTCTCTTTTCCATCTGCCCCCCTTTTTTTTCTATTTTTGCCTATGTTTTGGGGTATAGTAGCTCCATTGGACTTCACACCATTTGGGGAGAAAGTACTAAATAATGCCAGTGACCAGAGCCTGGCTGGAGGAGAGGCACAGCTAGATGACCAGGGTCAACCATTCTCCACAGTCAAACAACCTGATGGAACAGCCAGGGCTTCTGTTTCCATTGAAAGGAACATTGGAAAAATGGTTAGACAGACACACAGACAAGCAGATGAAAAAAAGATAGATAGGTGGACAGGTGGATGCAGAATGCTATTATTACTGGAGAAGTGGATGACTCCGGCCAACTTCTTTCTACTTAGTAGTAGATTTTTAAGAACATCATTTTGAGAAATGATCATTGGTCGTGGGTTGGACACTGCCATCATCAGATAGACAGAAGTCCCACATTGGCTCAGAGTCTTCATTAGGAAAACAAACAGTGCTTTACTCATTAATGCAGTGAGACAGGGAGTTATGGATGGGGAGGGGGGTGACTGGCAAATTAAAGTCACAAAACCGACAACTAGGAATTGATAAGAGAAAAACGTTCTGGCCACTGTTAGATGCCAGTACTTCTTAGAAAGGGAATAGAGTTTCCAAAGAGATGAGGGTGTTTTAAACTTCAGAAACATTTGTGCCTACTGTCAAAAGTCTGGTATTTTAGACTAGCTTGTACTTTTGATGCATCCTAAGACATACAAAGTGAAAACCAGTGAAAACTCTTTTTAGAAAAAAAGTGAAGAGGAAAAAAATCAATTGCAAAATTAGTAAACTAACCAATGAAAAGCTTAAGTTCAGCTCTAAAACATTGTTTTAAAAAGTTCTCTTTCTTTTTTAAAAATTCATTTATTCTTATTTTATGTGTTTGAGCATTTTGCCTTCTTGTTTGTAAGTGCACCTGTGCATGTAATGCTTACATTGGCCAGAAGAGGGCATCATATCCCCCAGAACTGGAGTTACAGACAGGAGTTAGCCACCATGTGGGTGCCGGGAACCAAACCTGGGTCCTCTTAAAGAGCAGTCAGTGCTTAACAGCAGAGCTGTGTCTCCAGTCCCTCTTTCTTTTGGAGAATTTCAGACATGAATACACTGAATTTATATACAATCGCTCCTCCCAAATAATATCACCCTCTCAAATTTATGTCTGTGTGGACTGACAGCCACGTGGTGTGTGTGTGTGTGTGTGTGTGTGTGTGTGTGTGTGTGTGTAGATATATACTAAAGTATGATAGATAGATATAGATATATCCTACTTTAGTGTTGTCTGAATATACATGGGTTTAGGGTTGACCACTTGTGCATGGGCAACCTATCAGGGAGCTCTTCCCTGAAGAAAACTCAGCAGCGATTGGCTGCTAGTAGCTCTTAACTAGGGCTGGTGTCTTGAACCTTTCCCCCATCCATGTTGACATGTTGACTATTGTAGTCTTGTGCAGATCTTATTTCAATATTGTTCTTCATTTAGAAAGATCTCAGTGTGGCAGTGTTGTTACGCGCTCACCTGGAAAAATTAAGAATCCCCCGATGAATGAAATGCACGACAATATAACCTGCGTGTGGGAAATCAAGGCCAATGCCTCTGATTATATACGGCTGGCATTCCCGTCTCTTGAGTAAGTGATAAATACCTTCCAAAAGTACACAGTGTGGTACAAAATTCTAACCACCTACCCCCTAAGTTGATTCTCAAATGCAAAGGAGTCATTCATACATTTCTGTTTGTCCTGAAATAACTACCAACAATAGGAAATTGAAAAGGGGATGCTGAGTCCTGTGCCCCCCTCACAGATCTCCTCCAGTGGTAGCATTATAAATAACCAGAACAATATCCAAGCCAAGAAAATGATGTTGATGTGATGCTGTCAGTTGGACTAAAGACTTTGTTCCATTTCCATCAATTTTTACATGCAGTTATTTATATGAGGGTGGGAGGGAGTGACAGATTCACACAATTTTATCCTGTAAATGGCTTTCTCAAAACCAGTGACATCAAGATACAGACCTGTTACATTATCACAAAGGAACTACCCTTTTGCCCTTAGTAGTCACAAACTGCTGCATTCTCTGTCCCTTAACCATGATCTTTTCTCCACCTCCACATTTTGTCATTTGGAGAATGGTCAGTAAGTGAAAGCACCCGGCACGTAGTTTAGGAGATTGGCTTTCTTTCACGCAGCCCAGTGCCCCTAAGATCCATCCAGTCTGATTCATGTCTTGTTTTCCTCTTTACTGCTGAAAAGGATTCCATTCATGTGGCTCTCCTAGTGTTCATCTTTCCCCCTTTGAGAATCATCTGACTTGTTTCTAATCTTTAATTACTGTGAACATTCACATAAGGTTTTTAGGTCAATGCAAGTTCATTTCCCAGAGATAAATGCCCAAGAGGGTGGTTACTAGATTGTGTGGTAAGTACATGTTCAGCTTTTTAGAACATGCTAAGCTATTTTCTAGGATGACTTCCATTTCTCCTTCTCACCAGAAGCATGTACGCTCTGTCTTTTCCATATCTTAGCTAGCAGGGTGTTAGTTTTATGTTATCTCTTTGTATGCAAAGCTGTACATTTATATGTAGATGTTTTTTCCTTAGCTGCTGTTGGGGTGATTGTTAATCATATCGTTTTCTGCACATTTGTTGCACGTATATAGAAATGTGATTGCTTTTATATATGCCCATGATCTTTCCAGGTCACATAGTTCTTTCTTTAATACAGTATTTTTATTTATTCTTTGAGTTTTCATAAATATATACAATATATCTTAGTCATATTCACAATTCCATGAACTTTAATTAAAAATAAATTTACCTTACAGGCTTTAGCTAGGAAAGAGAAAAGGAAAGAAACACTGTATGTGCCCCTTGCTGATACAGGGAAGAAAGAGCATCCCTTAGAGGGTTCTTAGTCTCATTCATAAAAGAATTTAAGAATAGACTCAAATGGAAGTTTTAGGACAATTTTATTATAATTTTGAAGAAAAAAAAATCCTCAGGGCAGGCAAGCTGGGAATCTGGGCAGCTGCCTTGAGGACGAGAATGGGGGGAAGGGAAAAGCCGCGAAGCCACACAGGTTTAGAGTCTGCATGGAAGTGGACTGGCAGCCACGTGGTGGGGAGAAGGGAAGCTTTAGAGGAAAAGTAAAGAAATGGAAGCATTAGAGGAAGCGTGCCTAGAAAAGGGGGATGAAGAAGAGAAGGAAAGATTAGGCTTTTCTGAAGAATTCAGAAAAGCAGGCACACTTACGGAGCCCTACCCGTCTGTGGCTGGGGCCAGAAGCTCTGCACTAGGAGGTGGGATCCCAGGTAGGAAAAGTTCACTAGCTCATTAACACACTAGGTATTCCACCCGTGTGTTTAGCATGACTTAAGGTGAACCTGCATTTTAGGGGTGATCCTATGACCAGATCATTAACCAGTGAAACTGGAAGAGTGGGTTTTCCAACAGATATTTTATTTTTTGACCAGTTACTGTCATGGGGCCTTTTTTGCTACTGTAACACAGCCAGCTAGTGAAAGATGCTGAGTCCAGGATGACACCCAGGCTTGTTAAGTGAGGAAATTTCAGGTTTTACTATTGTAAACACACAAAAAATGAGGCCATTTGTACATGAAAATTATATGAAAAGTAGCCACTAGGAAACCCCAAGTCGTTTATGACTCTTCAATTTTGTTTAATCAAA